GCTTCTGTGGAAGCAGCTCAGTCACTGAGGGGACTTTCATGCCTCCCAACAAAATCCATTCTGCTAATTAATTATGACACGTAATTGCTCATTGGTGACAAGAGCAAAATGGGAGGAGTACAGAGAGAAGACTGTTCTGTCTTCTACATTGTATGTAGATTGCATGCAATATATACCAGTTGGATGTAGCATTCATACCCATAATCCCAGCATTGGACTCAGTTTGTGAGTCAGTCATGAACTCTAGAAGCCCACCTTCCTGACTAAATGAGGGTATGGGGGAACATCTAGACCCAAGCAATAACAGCATCTGTCTTGTTTAATCTTTTGAGCTCACTAGACACCAATGTGACCCTGTTTTCCATTAAAGCATTTTCTCATAGATGGTGTTTTCCATGATAACCATCATCACCCTGCTCCACTTCTTCAGAGTTAAAGTTTCCAGAGCTGGTTTCAGAGTTTTAAGCAGACATAAAAATAGGGAAAAGCTATACTTTGGTGGGGAGGGGGTACCAGGGATCGAACTCATGACCTTGCTCTTGCCAGACAAGTGCTTATGCCACTGAGCTAAATCCCTGACCCCAGAGCTGTACTTTTTATACCTACAAGTTATTGTGTTATGTTTATACTTTTTTGACTTTCTTTACAATTCCTAAATGTCTCTCGAGAAATATTATGACTTTTAAATTATCTTCAGTTACAAGTCTAACTTTGAAGATTATGATTCATGATTAAGTATGTGAAAGTCCATTGTACCTCCAGAAAAATATTAGGCTCATATCTAGCTCACAGCTTCTACCATTTCACGCCTCACACCTGACTGCAGTTTGTGATGCTGCTCCTCCTCACCCCTTCTCTCCTGCTCCCTTTCATCCAAATGGGTCCCTCCCAATATTTCTATTTTGCTGTCATTGTGAAGTGGCAGTTCTCTCTCTCCATGTGGCAGGGCTGCCTTGGATAAATGCACACGTTCCTTGAGAGGTCCCAGGAGGATCGCTACAGAGCTAGAATCCCTGATGTGAGTGTTGTTCCTCTATAGCTGATCTCTTGTGCTGCCAACAGAGGAAACATCCCAAATACTCCTCCAGCTGGAGTCCTCGCATCTCAGAAGGCTGCCATCCTGGGCAAACTTCCCTCTGGGCAGCCAAGCTGAGCATCCACTTGGCTCATAGGAAACTCATCTGTGCCACAGTGCAGCTTGATGCGATGGCTCTCTCTAGTCTTACCATGGCAGAGCTTCTCTGGTCCATCTCTGGCCATTCAAATCTTCTACCTGGAAAGTAAGTACACCCAAACTCAACTGCCAAAGCCAAAAGTCCTGTGCCAAACCTTCCTGGCTCTCTAGGCCACTCTGCTCTCTAGCAGCTTGGCTTAGATACTTCAGCCCCTCAGTAAGTACTAACCATGAAATGCAAGTGCCTCCAATTTCCCTGCATCCAGGTTCCCTGACTGATGGGGTGAGCGTGTGGAATGGTGGTGGATGAAGGATCTATGGAAATAAATTCTCTTTCACTCATTAGCTCAGATACTTCCAATCCTTTGCCAACACCCTCAAAAATGAATCCAAGTTCATCTTCATCTGATGCAGAATCCTGCATGATTTACTCTCTCCCCCTCCCATTCCACCAGCATCCGCCTGACCTCCTCCAGCTGCCTGTCTTATTCCACGTGCTCCTGCGTTCTCTGAAGTTCCTTCAACAGCCCGGGCCTTAGGTTCTTTGCATCGCTGTTTCCTCTGCCTGGAAACATCCCTTGCTTCTCACTATCTCTTCCTTCACATTTCTGCACAGAAGAGCCAGGCTTTCTCAGACCACTGACTTAATGTGTTATGAATTTATATGACTGTTCCGTTCATTTCACTCATTATGATCCACAGGACTTCATTTTTCTTCTTCACTGATGAGTAGAAACTGATGACTGGTTTGCACGAGAATCCTACTAAATATTCATTCAAGTTTGTACTTTCATAAACTCCCCTCCTGTTCTGTTAGTTGGGGTTGGTTAGGGAGATGGGTTAGGATCATTTCAGAACTTATCAGAATCTTGATGTTTCCTGTGCAAGAGAGTCTTAAATGGAGGAACACATCCCCTGTCTTTCCCGGCATGGATCAATAGTCAAAGTTCCTAAAAAAAAGAAAACCCCAAATCACATTTAGCCACCCTTAGGTCACTAATGCAGGACCCCAGGAATGTGTCTTTGACAATCAAAAGTGGTGACTACTACGTGGGCGGTGCAATATTCTGTTTTGGAGCAGAAGTAAGATAGTAAATCTATCATCGGTATCACATGAGTGAAGAAGAAATGCCGGTTGAAATGTGTGTAGATGTGGTGGCTTTGATCAGAGCCTGTTGAAGGCAACTTAAATTTCAGTTGCTACTGCTCTGAGAGCCAAATAAACTCTGGGCAGATCTGCCAGTAAAGTTCTGTTTATATTATCTGTGAGTTCGTGCACTTACACTGACCTATGTGAAACAATCTCAGCTTGTTTGAGCTCATTTTTAGAATTCATTCCCACTGCTTAAAGATGCTCTTCCTATGTTACTCTTAAACATCAAAGCCATGAACCCATTAATCGCATTAATACTGGTGCACATTTCTCAGCACTGCCTTTCATTTTCAAATGACAACCAAAGGACTTTTCAGGGGCCCCCTGTTTATTCTAATGAGACATAGACAGGTGTTAAATCCCTTACCCTTCTTTGATCATTTGGTTCTGTGTCACTGATTCAAACCCTCAGATGTAGAAGTGCCCGTGTTGTCACGGAACACGTAAGCAGTCTCAGCAGTTATGCTGTGTCTCCCCTCCCACTCCTCCATATCACAGGCGTGGTGTTCCACGCAGTGTTCTCCGGACCTGGCTGTTCACAGCCTTTGTGATAAGTCAGATCCTTGAACACCACTTAAATGTAGTCTTTTCTAAAGTTGATTATATGATGGATGCAGAAGAGCTGTCTGCAGAGTATGGAATTAATTTGAGAGTTGGATACTTTAGAAACAGTGTGCTCACTATCCTAGTAACCTATGAGACTGCTCTCTCTTAGGTGACATTAATTTCCTATCTGCAGAGACTTATTACTAGAATGTGTTATGTGTGTACCCTCAAGAAAATGAAATAATAATTTTTAGCAGTCTATTAAAACGTCAAGGTTTATCTTGACTGCTGCTTTTAATGTAAATGTTTGGGTTTAATTGAATTCCTAATATGGGACATCACCTGGAATTCTGATAGGGTCAAGAATTTGGTGTATGAAGATCTATTTCTTCTTAAAAGAAAAAATATATTTAAAATGTTATTTTGCTCAATGGTAGAAAATGACTCAATGTAATAATTGTACAATTTTTACAGTAAGACTTTTGAAGAATGGGGATCAGACTCCCCATTGAGTCTGAAGAACGGGGACCAGGATCCTGCGTACTGTCTCTCCTCTGACATACCCACTGGGGTGTTTTCTAGGTTGAAGTATCCTGTGATTATTTGTGATTGGTTAAATGTTATGGCTAGAAATTCCAGAATTATCAACAGTGTATTCATCTTAACTGTCAGAGTTCTATTCATTTTTTGAAAACATTAATAAGTATGCTATTATTATGTAATTATTTTTACATTTACAAAAAAAAAAAAAAAAGATTTTCCTTGCCATGATATACTGCAGTAAGATATCATGGGAATCTGTGAGGCTTTATTAACAGCTTTGACCATTTTCTACTTCTTGAGCTTATTAAGAAATACTAATGATATTATTATTATTATGACGATTATTAACGACAACACCTGTGTGTGACTGAAGCAGTATCTGTCTGGAAAATAAACCGAAATGCAGAATGGAAATACTATAACATTAATCTGAGAGCAAATCATTTTATTTGGGATTATCTCCTCTGTGAACAGCCTTAATCATGATCTCATTCACGACTGGGAGTCACAGATTAACAGATCATTCAAAGCACACTCAAGTTTCTGCTCCTGTGTTGCAGCCTAATTGTATCTACCACCTCTAAAAATGATACCTGCATTTAAAATAAAATTGTGACTCAAGCTTTTTTTAAAAAAAATGCTAAATGTCTCTTTGAAGAATACGATGATATAAAGATATCTTGCTACGGGACTCTCCAACTACTCTGTTTCTAAACATGAAAACATGTCTGACCTTGTTAGCTAAAGATGATTGGAGAAATAAACCCACTTGGTTCAAAACTGAAAGTACACTGAAGTAAAGTACATCTGAAGAATGTTAGTGATATTAAAGATTTTATCAATTTGGGCATTTATTTTAGCTACAAGTAAAAAAAAAAAAAAACCAACAACAGAGCCTTTAGCAAAGAGTTCTCAGTGTAGATGGTCGTTGGCAGCATCTCAACAGTACCAAGCCTACGGGCCATCTTTGTGATTCTTAGGGCCTTTCACGAGTCAGTACAAGAAGACCCAAGGTGTAACATCAGAGCCTGCAGAGAGGAGGGAGGAGGAGGCAGAAGCTAGGAGGAAATCTAAGTTTCCTAGGAACCCCGTGGCCATCTTCTAGTGCATTTTGAGTCACTTTGTGTCGTGTAATTAATCCCAGCTGAGATGTGGTGAGCAAACAGTTAGCAATGGGAAGTGGGTTGCCAGATTCTGAGTTTCACCTTACTGTCTAGGTCATGTTATTGGGGTCTTATCTTTGCTTATCACAGCACCGCTCTGCTGGTTTTCCTGATGAGTCACAAACAGCGACAGTTTCTTCTTTGAAACTTGAAGTGAGAGCCCACTGGGCTACCGTCCTGCATCCTCCCTATAGCTCAGTTTCCACTGACTCAAATATTTTGGATGGCAAGAAAACATACATGGGTGCATAATATATTAAATATATATTAGTGTATGTCCCTTCCGTGTTCCAGGTATGAAGTTGCTGATGGTATAAAGCTTTTGATCAGTCTAGAAGATTAATTGAAGAGTCGATGACGCTGAGAGCAGTGAGGTTAAATGTTGTCTTCTCAGGAGTATCGATTCTTCTCTCTACTGCAGATCCCTTCGAATTGATTGGGTGTCTCCAGGGAAGCCAAACGGCATCATTCTTGGATATGAGCTTTTACGGAAAACATGGCACCCGTGCTCCAAAACCTGGAAGTTAATGGAGGACCACAGTGATGAACTCTGCAAGGCGGTGAGGTGCCCCAAACCTCAAAAGATCTGTGGGCACATCTGCTTTTCTCCCAAAGCTAAGGTAAGCTTGTCCACACCAGCCAGTGGGATGCGTTTTGCTTCCAAAACATTCCAGGAAAAATCTCTTGTGTCTGACACCATGCCTTGTCATGGTAAATGTTTCTACTACTGTTGTATCAAGAAGCTATGGTAAAGAAAGGGTACTTTGGCAAGCTTTTCATCCCTCCCATTTATTATCATCTTTGCAGGAAATATGAATTTACTAGAGTGATATGGAGCCTGCCAAATTTGTATTCGATTAGGGACTTGAAATTTTCTTGATAACAAGTCCACTCGGCTACAAATGCTTGTTTTTTCTCACTGTGAGCAGGGCCTTTGGTGTCTGTCAGAAATATTTTTAGAATTGTGGTCACTTGTAAATTAATGTTCCTATTAGTTGCTGTTTAGGAATCAGATCAATAATACAGCCAGACAGAGGAGTTTGTAAATGGCCTTTATTGACAAATGACACAGAAAAATCCTTAGTTCGAAGATAGGATTTCATATAATGAAATAATGTTCCGATTTATCAATAATTTCACATATTCAATGACTAAAATTACTACTGAATTCATAAGATTCACTGCAAAATAACTCAGGAATGAAGAAAGTGGGTTATTGAAGCAATATGAATCAAAATATAGATTATTATAGCTGACCAGAGTTTTGCAGTTGTTACCCTGTAAGAAATGCAGAGCCATTTATTAATAATCTATGTTTTTGACAGTGTCTCCAAAATTGTTATTAAATTCAAGTTTTAGGTCTTTTTAAGCTACTAAATATATAGTGTCTGATGAATATACTTTTATAAGGTTAAATTTCAGAAAGGAAAAACACAGGAATAAATTTGCTCACTAAAAATGTTTTTCCAATGAAAGAGAGATAAAATTTGAAAAAATGTTAGGCAAAACACAGAGTTCTCACTTAAATTTTTAGCTGTTGTTATGCTTATATGTCCCATTCAATAAGAAACTGGCAAGTAGGAAATAATTAAACATTAAGATTTTAAAAAGATAAAGAAAAAAATGAATATTTGTCCAATACAGGAAGTAACATGTTCAACAAAATGAAAACTGATTTTTTGTGCCCTCCAAAAAATCAAAGTAGTTTACATATGTATAAAGTATAAACTTTTAACTCTAGTTACATGACAGCTAAAATAGAACACAATTAAAAACTATAATGTCTTATTTTATGTTTGCTCTAAAACATTAGAAGGTAAATACTCTTAAAATATCCATAGTTAATTAAAATAGAGATATTACAGGGTGAAGAAAAAATAATCATAACCGAGTATTAATACTTGGCAAAAATTCTATATGTTCAGGCTAAATTATTTATAAATTTACATCTGCCTTTCTTTACATTGATATTAAAAACTGGGGGTTTTTTAAGCTTTCAAAGAGATTTGAGTCTTTACACCAAACAATAACTATTTGGTGTAAGATTTCTGAATGCAATATTCTTAAGAATAACAAACCAACAGCCAACATTATACTAAATGGACAAAACTGAAAGTTTTCACTTTAAAATCAAGACCAAGACAAGGATGTCCACTATCACCACTCCTATTCAATATAGTTCTGTAAACACAAGTTAGGGCAATCAGACAAGAGAGAGAAATAAAAGGAATAAAGATAGAAAAGGAAGAAGTCCAATTATCACTATTTGCAGATGACATGATACTCTATACAGAAGACCCAAAAAATTCCATTAAAAGACTACTAATGGTAATAAACAAATTCAGCAGTGTAGCTGGATACAAAGTCAACACTCAAAAATCAATAGCTTTCCTGTACACAAATAAAAAATTCACCGAGAGAGAAATTATGGAAATATTGCCCTTCACAATAGCATCTAAAAAAATGAAATACTTAGGAATCAACGTAAGATTGTAAATGATCTATATGCTGAAAATTATACTATGCTAAAAAGAGAAGAATGAAGAGGATATTAGAAAATAGAAGGATATTCCTTGCTCTTGGCTAAGAAGAATCAACATTGTGAAAATGGCCATACTCCCAAAACTGTTATACAGGTTTAATGCAATCCCCATCAAAATACCATTAACATACCTCACAGATCTAGAGAAAACACTCCTAAAATTTACTTGGAAACAGAAGAAGCCTAGAATAGCAAAGGCAATTCTGGGCAACAAAGGCAAGGCAGGAGACATCCCAATTCCTGACTTGAAACTATACTACAAAGCCACAGTGATAAAATCAGCATGGTACTGGCAAAGAAATATACCTGAGGATCAATGGAACAGATTAGAAGATGCAAGCAAAACTACAGAGACACTCAGTCATGTGATATTTGACAAAGTGGCTAAACATGGTCACTGGAAGAAGGATAGCCTCTTTAATAAATGGTGTTGCAAAATTGGCTCTCCATATACCAAAGACTAAAACTAGATCCATGCCTATCACCATGCACAGAACTAAAGTCTAAATGGTCAAAAACCTAAATATTAAAACAGAAACACTATATCTACTGCAATACAAGGTAGGTAGAAGTCTTGGAGACACAGGGGTGGGCAGAGAATTCAAGAACAAAATGCAAACTGCACGGGAAACACTTCAAAGAAGCGACAACTGGGATCTCATATTATTGAAAACTTTCTGCATTTCAAAAGAAATCACCAACAGAGTGAAAAGAAAACCCAAAGAATTTCAGCCAACAATCCCTCAGACCAAGGACTTATATTCAGAACACATAAAGAATTGAAAAGCATCAAGCCCCCCAAATTCAAAGACCTTCTCCAAAAATGGGCATCTGAGATGAACACATATTTCTCAGATGAAGATATACAAATGGCAAATAAATACATGAAGAAATGTTCACCATCACTGGTCATTCGAGAAATGCAAATTAAAACATCATTGAGATTTCATCTCACCCCAGAAAGAATGATAACAAACGTTGGCAAGAATGCAGGGGAAAAACTGCTCCACTGTTGGTGGGAATGTAGACTGGTGCAACCACTATAGAAATCAGTATGGAGAATTTTCAGAAGACTGGAATTGAAAGTTCCATTTAATCTGGCTATTTCCTTCCTGGTATTTTCCCAGAAACACTGAAAAGATCATGTCACAGTGATATATGTGTACCCATGTTCATAGCAGCCCAATTTATAATAGCTCAATCTTGGAAACAACCAAGATGCCCATCAACCACAGAGTAGATGAAAAAGATGTGGTATTTTTATACAATGGAATATTCCTCAGCTATAAAAAAGGATGATCTTGAGGCCTTCATAGGTAAACAGAGGCAACTTGAGACTATCCTCATAAGTAAAATAAATAAGAATCATATTTATAAATATCACATTGTGTCTCTAGTATAACAGGTGATCTGAACTGTAGGAGTAATAAAATCCAATATGTATAATTGCTATTGTAAAAAAGAGAGAAAAAAAGTACTCTAAAGGATATAATTGCATGTATGTTTAAGTGTGTAGGACTGATAATCATATTACTAAGTTTTTGTTGGGTCATTGTACAGAAGTGTTTGCAGTCTTGCTGTTTGAATGTCCACTTTGTATGCTTCACTTTTGTAACTTGAACAACTATTTCTAAGAGGACAATATATAATTACAGCTAGTGATTCCTTGCTGTATACTTTTTTGAAATTATATATTATTTCTACCCTTTTTCTTTTTTATTTTTTTCTCTTTAAATAAAAATGTTAAAAAAAATTAACAATACCAATAGATTCAATCTTTCTAAAGTTAAAAAAAAGAATAACAAAAAACTATTTAGTCTAATTTTGAATCAGTCAAAGAAATTATTAAGAAGGAAAGACAACCCAGTGTGGTAGCGCATCCTTATAATCCCAGTATTCTAGGAGGCCGAGTCGGTAGAATCACATTTGAGCCCAGCCTGGACAACTTGGAGACTTAGCAAGAAGATAAAACATTAAAATGGAGGCTGGAGGTGGGCATCAGTGTGAAGGCTCTGGGTTCAACCCCTAACACTGGAGCCAAAGAAAGAAAATAACCACAGCACAGTCAGCTATTACAGCAAAAAAGAAACATACATGGTAGAGAATAAATGTTAACTAAAAACGGGGAAATGAAACAAAAGTAACCATCTAGGAAAGGTGCTAGAGGAGATTTCGCCTCATATTCTTGAAAAGAAATTTCCCATTGCGCGGTTCTTATAAGATAAATGTTAAAAGTGATGAAAACGGGGTGCAGATTCAGTGATGACTTCAGAAGTCTTATTTTTATTGTAAGGACTTCAGAAGAGGGGCTGGGGATTTAGCTCAGTGGCATAAGCACCTGCCCGGCAAGCATGTGGTCGTGAGTTCAATCCCTGGTACCGATTAAAAAAAAAAAAAAAACAACAAAAAACAAGGACTTCAGAAGTAACAATATGTATTTTCATTGAAAGAAATGAAATCAGATAAAATTTCGAGAGAAACATCTTGTTTGTGAACGTTGGTTTCGGTTCGGGTATACATATGTATTTCTGGAGGGAGGTTACAGAGACGAAGGACTGCTGTTGTGAATCTGAGCAGCCCTGGGCTGAGTCACTGTGAGTGTCAGTGGGAACAAAGCACAACTTCAGGTCTCACCACAGGACGGCAGGGTCCCAGGGAGGACCCACCGCACAGGGTTAGTGAAAATGGGGACTCTGATTGGCTCGTCTTAGCTGGACCCAGAGAACCTGCATCTCTAACGTGTTCCCAGTGCTGCTTCACATCTGCACCAGGGACCACACTTTGAGAATCATTCGATTATCGATGGCTTTTGAAAATGCCCTGGGTAAATCAGCTCAAGTTACTGAAATTTCTATTTATGCCTTGTGAGACGATGACCTCAAAGACTGAAGTGGAAGACAAGGAGATACTGTTTGGGACAAGACCTCCCAAGAGAAATAATTGCAGAATATCATTGCCTTGGGGACCCATCAGGAGCCTAAACTGGAGTGGGGGAGGAGAAAGGGATGTGTTTCCCATTGCTGGGGGAGACTGAGATGGGCACAGAGAATGGATGGATGCATATCAACAGCCCGGAGACTCCTTCCTCCATAAACGTCGAGGGGGTAAGTCCAGGGTATACTTCTGGAAGGAGAAGACTGTGGAAGTCCTTAAGTCTCCAAAATCACACTGCATGGGAATGATCATTTGAGAAGCTCAAACAACAAATGTCAAGGCTGTAGGTCACTGTTGCAAAACACAAAGAGATAGGTACTGTTTTACCCTGACTGCATTCCTAAGCCCAAATAAACAGAGAAGGTTTCTCACTTCACTCTTAAAAATGGGACATAATTGCGAAATGCACTTTTCACACAGAATCCGAACCTGGAGGTAACAGGAGTCAGCTAATGTACCCTTGGCGTTAGATTAATTCTGAGTCTTTATTGCTAACAACTAATCCCAGAAACAAAGAAACTCATTGTAGCTGGGTTCACAGAACTGCCCTTTGCAGTGGAGTCCAAATTCTTTGGTTTCGATGACTTTTGCGAATGAATGAACTGCCGGCCTACCATCTCAGTTGAAGACTTAGGCTGCGTTCTGGGGTCACTGTGTCCTGCTTGGTTCCGATGTCAGTATATGGTGGGGGCAAAGGAAGCTTCTTCCACTGATGTTAGCGGCCACAGGAAGCATCCGGCTAATTAATGTGACTGTTACTGAATAGAAGTTCCAAGGCTGAAACTATTCCAAAATGTGTTTGATTTGTTGTATATACAACATGTCAGCCTCCATGGCCTGAAGGCAGTGTGGAAATAATAACTTGATTGTTCAAGCACATAATTTCTTCCACGGCTCTTGGAGAAAACACGGATGTAAAAAGGCTTTTGAAAATTAATTTCCATGTAAATTTCCTTTTTTTAATGTGGTGCTTTATGATATATATATATATATATATATATATATATATATATATATATAAATGTTGGCCTCTGTTGAGATTACTTTGTCTGAAGATTGGATCATAAATAAGTAATCATATAAATTATAAGAAAAATTCAGCATATTAAAAAAAAGATCAGTGACAGACATTTCCCCCACATGTGCTGTTTTCAAATAAACAGTCATTAAAAGAAAGACACATGTATGAGCAAAATGCTTCATTACCAATTCTAAACATCTTTACATTTGAATCGCTGAGATTCAAAGATAATTCTTATTTATAGGCTATCATGGTAGAGAACAAAGGATGTCCAAAGGCTAAAAAACAAGTTGCATTATATCAAATAACATTTACAGAATTTGAATGATGCTGTAAAGTACATTTTAAACCTGTGAATTGTGAGCAATGTGATTTCAGATCAGGAATCTATGAGAAATAATTGCATTGCATGAGACACAGCACTCTCAATTAAACTGATACCTTTTGAAAACTGATACCTTAATTAAACTGATACCTTTTGAAAACTGATGGTCACCTCACAGGTCTGTTGTAACGGAGTCCTCTACGACCCCCAGCCTGGATACCACTGCTGTGAAGAGAAGTACCTTCCATTCCTTCCCAATTCCACTGGTGTTTGCTGTGGTGGCAGAATCCAAGAGGCACAGCCCGATCATGAGTGCTGCTATGGGTATTATGCCAAGGTACTGCCAGGTGAGGATTATTTCTAGGTGTTCTCAATAACCTGGGGATATAACAGACATAAAAGCATGGTTCTTGTCACCTATTTCAAAAACCTTCCCAACAAAAATAAATGATAAACACATAGCAAATGACCTGCATTAAATATTGTTTGTTTCAGCTTCAGTGAGACGTAAGCAGAACTATGTGGAAACCAAAGAAAGGCCACTAGAGACTCATGATCTCTTTGGACAGAAGACAGTCTGTTCACCAAGAGGTGACAATACACACCGCTAGGAGATAAAGGGGTGGAGAGAGGAAGGCACCCTAACTAGTCTAATGCATTGTTGTCCCCAGGTGGAGAAGCACACAGGGCTTCCATTGGGAACAGTCACAGCCATTTACATAAGGCAGACTCATCATCATGTGTAGCAATGACTCATTCCTGAGCATCCTCAATCTGAGGTCATGAGCACAGGTACAAAACACAGAGAGCCTGTGTAGATGACTGGGTGGAGAACATAGATAGCATTCTGATGAGCACAGCTCACCCCCAGTCCCCTAAGAGGAGTGGGTTAGAACTTGGTGGCTTGGGTTGGTGCCTTGTAAGTTTTTCCAAACACCCTCAGCTGAAATAAAAAGAAAATCAGCTTTGAAGATTAGTTAGTAGTCATAAGGAGGGAATAGCTCTTTCCTTGTTAGTAAAGGACCTTGATCCTGATGGTACCTGCTCTGCCTGGTGGGTGACACAACTATCTAAAGAATATATCTAGAGATCTGCCCAGTTAGAGATCTGTGTCTAGTGGTTTTGTTTTCTTCTCATGGCTCAATATTTTCACCATTGACTATGTGACTCACTAACTGTCCCATTCCATGAAAATATTTTCTTCTTCCTCTAAATATTTCTATTCTGAAATAGGCATGCACTGGCTGGATTACAGCTGCAAAATTCCACTTATTTGAGACTCGGAGACGACTGGCAATGTGTTCTTATAGATCAGACGGGAAGGAGAAACAGAGCAGAGAGTAGCAAACAGGATCCACCCTCTCTTCTGTTTCTTTCTGTAGACCAACTGACCTGGTCATTTCTCACCAGATTTCAACGATGAAGAACAGTGCCTATTGAATGTAGTTGAGGACATTTGTAAAATACTAAATCTCAGCGAAGATCTCTGTTTAATGGCTTTATGGGTGATATGGTACTTGCATGTGTGATCATCCCAACTTTAGAAAATTGGAACTTACGTGCAGTTCATAAAAAGGCAGGCTTAGAGAGGATTAGTAACACACCCACCTTCTCCAAGGTAAATAAGCATCTGAAGAGCTACAAGGAAGATGCAGGCATGGCTCCCTAATCTCTGCTCTCATGAGCATTTTACTGTCTCTTTAGCCAAAATGTGCTAACATTTGTCAACATTTTTAGAATAACTATTGCAGACTTCTGAACTTTCTCGTGACACTCACGGTCTGTTTCTGTTGATCTGGAGAAGCCATTGAGGACACAAGTATTTTGCTAAGCGCTGAGTTTATTACTGGTGAGTTCTTTGCAGTCTGAAAATAAACATGAGAGGAAGAGAAGAAAGCTAAGTTTTTCTGAGGACTTAGGAGAGCTGACTGCTTTCAAGAGATTCGCGTGTATCTACTTTACCGTGAGATTTAAGTCTGATATCTAATTAATTTGGGCATTAATACATTAGTGATCTTTATGTTTGATATGAATATTTCCAACCAAAGTAAGTGAAGTAAGAAACTTGCCCAGTATCTTTCTTGCAAAACACTGGAAATGAATGGAAGGTGTAGCGCCAGTCCATTCAAAACCAAGAACCTCACTCATAGCATTTTCCCCTTAAAATCTATAAGCAAACCTGGTCATTATAACTGTGCTGTTATTTCTGATTCTCCAGCAAAAATACTTTTACAACTAAGTCGCTCTTGACCAGATTTCCTCACTAAGAAAATACATTGATGCAAATGAAGATTTTATTTAAAAAAAAAAAAACTTCTTTACTGTATTATAGCCTGTACTGTATTATAGATTAGTTAATAACTAATCTAATATTGTGAAATGTTTTGTTTCCACCAAAAATTGACATTCAGGGAGTTTACATATATTCTCTTCCTCATCTCTTCCCTAGAAATAATCCAGTTAAAAATCCTAGGAATTAGATTAGGGTTTCCTGTTCCTCACACCATTCGTCATGGATAGCTTTTCTCTGAGTCTAGTATGCAACTACACGGTAGTGTGTTCGTTTCGAAGTCACATGAAGATTTCTAATTGTATGATTTGCAATGAACTATTCAAGCCCTGAAAAATACCCTCTGTGCCTCGAAAATTCACATGAAATACTTGCTCGCTCACGTGTCACTTCTTTAGCTCTAGAACTCTGCCTGTCCTTTTCCAATCTTAGCCATGCCATATTTTCAACCAAAAACACAATCTTTTTTTTTTTTCAAAATAAAAGTGAACATTTTTTCCCACAAAAAAATGAAATAAGCCATGGAAGCCCAGGGGTCTTCCATATTCTATAAACCTTTTCAATGACTGATTTTTGAAACAAGAGTATTAATATCTCTGTTATCTACACACACACACCCCCACACACACACACACTTGTTCCAGAGCATCTAAGTATCTACCAAATTGTTGAGGATGTCCCCCATTTAGCTTCTTTCTAAGTATTTCATTTTCCACAGGATTAGGATGCATACCACGCTGTCAAAAGGAAAAAAATAAGCCCACAATTTCATGGGCTAATCAAAGATGGTGTTTGCTCCCATCATTAATCTCAATGTACCTAATGAAGAGATCCCTGCGCGACCTTTGTCGTCAGCCCCTGGGCTTTGTTAACTAGTTTAAGGCTGTTTATGTCACAAAAGAAAGCATAGGGACCCCAAACTATCTTGTATCTAAATGTAATTAAAATCCAGTCTGTAGCCTGCCAGTTCAAGGCTGAGATGGGTGTAGGCATTTGGGTATTTATAGGTGAGTCTGAAATAGTGGTTATTAATATTCATTTCCTTTTTTTTCCTGTGGACTTTCCTTCATAACAAAGAGCAGTAAAAAAAAAAAAAAAAAAAAAAAAGAATGCACATTAGCCTGTGCGTACACTTTTTTTATGAATATGCTAATGACCCCAACTAAATGTTAATGTGGGTCATTCTTTGATAAGAATAACAATTAACTGTTAGACTGCATGGTAGCTTTTAGAGGCAAAACATTTGCAAGCCCAGCCTGAAATAGATTCATTTTGAGAGGTTAATGAGAAGGTGACTGATCCTTGCATCTTATGTCTAATAGCCCCCTTTTTTTGAGGGAAAAAATCATTTTATTTCTCATTGATATAATCCACATCTCTTGTTATGAGGCCTTTTCTTGGGATAGTCACTGAATAGGATTCAGAGGGATCAGGGAAATATAAAGTATGTAAACCAATTACTGTTTGGTACAGTTAAAAGAGACTTTCAAAACAGAGCTTGTTTCCCCAATATAGATGTGTGTGGCTTCCTCTCTGCCCGGTGCCCTGGGTGCTGTGAATTAACTGGCCCTTCCCATGGCCCCTGTGACATTTTCCAGTGAGAGACATTTTGTTTCCTGGTTGTGGAAATGTAAGAAAGATGGCAACTGAATTCCACGCCAAATAGAAGTTCCCTTTTACCCAAGGGAGAAAATGCATGGATAACAAGTATAATAATTTTGCAGTAAGCTTATTCCTTCTTCATTGGCTTCTGGGGCCACCACAAAGAAAAATTCACAAATTCCTTTCTATACCCAGATCCTGCACTGTAAGGTCCTTCCACAGGCAGTGGACTAAGCCTACTGTCCCTGAATTCTGGGAATCCACATCCTCAGAGAACATTAGGGATGCCCTAACCCAAACTGTGCATGAATGTGTATCACAATTTTATTTTAAATGCCCAAATAAAACACCCCAAATGTCTCTGAATACGTGAGCAAACTGTCATACGAAGCATTACAACCTAGAAATAAATAAGAAGGATGATACCAGAAGGAATTATGCTGAGGAAAAAGTCAGTCTCAAAAAAGCTATTTACATGGCCCACTCAAAAACAAGCTATATTTATAGTCAACAAATTGGTGATAGCCGTAGGAAGTGGGTTGGAAAGTGTGAGTATAAAGTCACAGTATTAGACTATTTCAGATCATATTTTATATGATCATGCTGTAAGGGAAAAAATCTGTTTAAAGTTCTGGTGGTTTGATGCTGAATAATAGGTGGGCATGATCTTTGGAGAGAGACAGCCTAGATTCATATCCCCTTTCATTCACTTTCTAGATGTTTGAGCTTCCTTGAGTAACTTAAACTAAGAATATTCATAGGAGGCTAATACCTCAGATATCCACGGGCTGATGAGCTAGAATCCCGAACTTACTGTCTTTTCTGTTTGTAATAATAGGGGAGCACAAGAAGAGGAGGTTGACGAGTCCCTCGTTGTGAAAAGACAGTTTCCAATGAATCTGACCAAAGACTCGGGGACGTTCCCTGTCATCAGGCTGGGTAGTGGGGTAGCCTATTCATAAAAGCTGGAGTCAGGTGGCTAAGGGCCACTGAGAGCCTTTGAGACCAAGGACTTCCCTGGATCTTTAAGAACTGGCAATGCTTTCACATTAACTTTTGCCCAATCAACCTGCAACTCTTGAGGGAGAGAATCTTTGCATTTTGTGTGGTACTAAAGCCTGGAATATAGGCCCTAGAAGACACACTTTTTTCTCACAAATAGGTATTTGGGGGCTGGGGATATAGCTCAGCAGCACAGGTGCCTTCTTGGCAAGTGTGAGCTTGTGAGTTCAATCGTCAGCACCAAAAAATAAACAGGTATTCTGAGACTTCATGTCCATTAATACTACCACTGTGGAAAAACAGAAAGAACCAGCTGTTTTGAGACCGTGATATGAAAAAAGATCAAGCATCTATTGAACGGAAGTAGACTCTTCTGGAGGAAGTCAAGCATCTCAATACATTAGCGTTTTAACAAATGCAAATGTAGTGGCTTAAAACATCCCAGATGCACCGCCCCATGTTGCTCAAAGTTCACAGTTTAAGTAGGTGACCCAGGGTGTTTCCAGCAGTGCATTCCCTCCCAGGAACAGAGTGTGCTTTCTGGGCTTTCTCACCATCTGGAGCTGCCCACATTCCTTGGCTTACGGTCTCCTTGGCTCTTCCTTGTGCCCACCACTGAACCGTTTCTCACATCACATTGCCAAACTCAGCTCCACCTGCTGCCTTGATTGTCCTGTGCCATGTAAGGTGATATCAGCCTTCACAAGCTCCAGGAATCAGGATGTCGACATCTCTGGGAGGTCAACATTCTCCTAATGTGTATGAGCCACCCTAAAGTCCTGGCTCATCACTGTGAGAATTAAGATGCTCTGTAACTCATGGGGTACAGCTGTGACAGGTGAGTACAGGACGATACTGTCAGTCCAAATGCAAAGAACATGAAAAAGCGCTGAGCGCAGACCTGCTCTCAATTAGGTGGCTGCCTTGGGGATTAGAGAAGGGGCGGCAGGGTTGGGAGCTACCGCGTGGTAAGGAATCACAATCCTGTTAATGGCCCTGAGTCTGAGACAAAGCGTTACCCGCGTCATTTATTGTGTTGATGGAGTGAACAGAGATAAGTGCTAAGTTAGTACAGCTGATAACATGTGTGTCCTTTCTAGAACTACGAGAATACAATCGATCATGCTTTTTCAATGGCCTCCTTCTTAAAAGTAGACTTGGGGGTAATTTTAAGAAGAGCATTGCCAGAATACAAAAGCAGTCATGAGTATCAGTGGAACACAATAAAAGATGCAGAAAAAAACCCAAGCAGATTTAACTGTTGGATCTTTGACAAACAGTCCAAAAACACCGGAGGAAAGAGAGCCTTTATAAGAAATGGTGCTAGGAAAAGTAGTGGCTTTCCACATGCAGAACATTGAGTCTAGAGCCATGTATCTTGCGAAGCTTTAATCAAAATGGAACAGAGAGCTAAATTTTAAGCATAAACACTTTGCCTGCTGGAAGGTAAAATCAGTAAAACTCCTCCAGTCATAGGCATAGACAAGGACTTTCTGAACAAACCCCAACTGCACAGGAAATAGGACTGAGAATCAGCAAATCAGAACATGTTGAGTTAAAAAGTTGCACAGCAAAATAAACAACCAGCAGGGAGAAAAGAGACAGCTACAGGATGGGAAAATTTTTTTCCAGATATTCCCCATGCAGAGGACTACTATCTGGAATATGTAAATAACAAAAAAATTAACCCCCCCAAAAAAGACACAATCAAAAAATAAGCACGTGAAATAGGCATTTTGCACAAGTACAAATGGCCAAGAAATCCATGAAAAGATGCTCAGCGTTGCTGGCCATTAAAGACATGAAAATTAGAACAATACTGAGATTCCCTCAGAAGGAATGGCTGTCATCAAAAAATCAAATAACAACAAATGCCTGCAAGGCTGTGGGGCCACAAACAAACTCCTATGCATGGCTGGTGGGAATGTAGACTAGTGTAACCACTACGGAAGTCAGTGTGGAGAGTCCTTAAAAGCTAGAACTATAAATTCCATCCAATCCAGCTAATTACCTTCGAGGGGCATCTTCTCAAAAGAATTCAAGACATTGTATTACAGTGATCCATGTACATTCGTGTTTATAGCAACACACTCATAATAGCTGATTTTGCAAGCCACCTATATGTCTACGAACAGATGAATGAATAAAGAGAACACACAATGGAACACAGCTGTGCCATAAAGAAAGACAAGCTTGAGTCATTTGTAGAAAACTGGGTATGACTTGAGACCAGAAGAATGTTAATGAAATGAATCAGGCACAGCTAATATATCACGTTTCTCTTACATAAGAAACCTAAATTATAAATAAAGGGCAAAATAAAACATAATAGGAAATGGGGCAAGAGATATTTTTCAAAAGGGAAGAGGGTCAAGAGAAAGAGAGAAAGGAAAGGGAAATAAAAAAGAAATTAAGATATGTTATGTACAGGCACCAGCTCACCCAAGGAATGTAATCATTGTGTAGTAATATAATGTGCTCCAAAAATGATAGATTTGTGTCACTGTTTTCAAAGTTACCAAAGTGCTACTTCTCCACAGTTTCAGATTGATGCTGCACCCTAACTGCACTGAAGGTTACGTGACTCTGTATCTAGGATAACATGTCAGAGAACCACATGTAAAGACATTGTAAAGGGGGCTGGGGATTTAGCTCAGCAGCATAAGTGCCTGCCTTGCAAGCAGGCGGTCGTGAGTTCGATCCCTGGTACCGATAAACAGTGAAAAAGACAAAAAAAAAAAAAAAAAAAAAAGACATTGTAAAAAGAATGTATACAGACACTGGTGAAATCCCAATGAAATCGGTAGTCTGCTTTTTTAAAAAAAAATTTTAAATATTTTAAAAAGAAAAGCATACTAGGAGCATATCCAGATAGACGAAGTCCTCTGAAGTTGAGTTTGTCCTATGAGTCCCCATCTAAAGTATCTTTGCCCTCCGCACTCTTGGAAACAGATTCCAGGGGACAAATGTTGGTCAAAGAGTCAAGTCAGCGCCATCACCAAGCTGCAGCATGGGGGCTTCTCCTGAAAGTCACAGAGAATGACCCAGTGTCCACATGTGATCCTGGTGTCTCATCTGCGGTGGATTCCTCCCAGTGGGTGCCTGGAGTCAAATTGTCACACCAAAATATGCACTGGTTTAAAAGAGAGACCAAAGAAACACAAAAGCAGAATCAAAGAGGTAGCTGACATTTCTGTCCCTGAGACATTTAGTTTGTTCCTAGGACAGAAGGTGAAAAACTGGCCGGGTTTGTTACGGATAAGGTGCTTCCTAGACCAGTGCTGAAGCTCAGTAATCCACTTCCAGCAGCTCTGGCAGGCTGCCACGGATGGGGTAATTCCAAGCCATCGCTGTGTAGTTGGCTCTCGGTTCTCGAGGCGGGGAGGTCAAGAGAACTGGACAGACATCAGCAAGGGCCTTGGCCCTGCACATTCCTTGACAAAAAGCAGAAGTGAGCCTGCGTGCTGGGGAAATTTCAAGAGATGAACGCGATGGTAAACGGGACTGAATTCATCCTTTGTGTCAGGTACCTACGTCCACAAACAACCAGCCCCTCCAGACACAGTGGCATTTGCCCGTTCATGAAGAAGGGTCCCCAGCCTCCTATGTTACAACTGCGGGCCAATTTCTCTGGTACATCAAGGGCTGATAAGATTAGACTCATGGCTACCTTCACAGGGAGGTGCAAATCTGTCATGGTTGTTCTTCCTTTTCATCTTTCTTGCTGAGGCAGAGTAAATACTTCCCTGGGTCCCGCTGTTGTATGAATATTAACCATTAATCTTTTATGAACTAGACATAGCAGTGTCCCTGTCCTCCTCTTTCATTTCTGTCAACTTGACCTGACATTTTCTTTTTCTGGGCTGTAGTGTCTTCCACACTGTGGCACGCCTTTGCCATTGGTTGTCTAACATGTCTTCTGGGAAGCAGAGATACCGACTTTACTGCTTATGAGACCAAAGTGTTTCCAAGGGGTAGGAAAGTAGTCTCTGAAAATAGGCATTGAGTTATAGGATTTATTTTCTTCTTTTATGAGACTGGATCTTTTATGACAGGAAAATACATATAAGACAAAATTTACCATTTTAACAATGTTTAGGTGCACTGTTCAGTGGCATTGACTATACTCACACTGGTGTACAGTGACCCCTACCTGTTCTAAGAATGCTTTGTCTTTCCCTGCAGAAACTGTACCCACTGAGCACCAACTCTCCATTCCTGTCTGCCCTCCACCCTGGGCACTGCACTTCCATTGCTCCTCTCTGATTTGACCACTCCAGGCATCTCATGCAGCTAGAAGCATTCAACAGAGTCACTGGAGATTGGCTTCTTTCACTTAGCATAACATTCTCAGGATGTGTCTGTGTTGTAGCTCATGTCAGGAATCCATTTCTTTTCAGGTGCGAATAATATTCCCTTGTATGTGGACACCAGGTTTTGTTTATCTCTTTCTCCATCAATGCATAGTTAAACTGTTTTCACCTTTTATGGCTATTGTGAATGAAATCACAGCGAACACCGGGTACACAAATATCTGTCTAAACAGCTTGCATTCTTTTGATTACATAATCAATTCCATATATATATGCCCCAAATCAGAATTTCTGGGTCATATGGCGTTTCTGTGCTTAAGCCTTTTGAGGAACTCCTCTTCTGCTCCATGATAGCTGGCCATTTTCCATTTTCAACAGCAGTCCCCTCCTGTTCCAGCTTCTCCAGACCCTGCTAGCATTTAATTTCTGTTTTGCTGTCATGGCTTTGTCTTTGGTCAAATAAATACAGAGTGATTAAGAAAATGACAGTCATGTACAGTGTAGGTTTATTTACAAGTTAGCTTCTTAATCCATCCCATTCTCAAAAAAGAAAACTTATATTAAACTGAAAAGGATCCCAAGACATGGTTTTTTCTGACAAAAGTCATTGCCTGGACCTAATACGCTCCTTTTTTAGAAGAGGGCGAGCACTATCAGGGCCACAGGTTTAAGCATCCTTAACACAAAAGTTTCGGAATTGAGCTGAGATCATGCAGCTCCAGGGTGACCGCCCTCCTGCTGGTGACTCTGTCCGGCCAGCCGTGGGTCTCGGAGTCCTGGCTGCAGGCGGACTCAGCTGCCAGGCAGGCGGCGTCCATGCAGCCCGGCGATGACTGATCTTGTCCTAAACCCACAGGTGAAATCTGCTGTCCCGACGCGCAGCACGAGCGCGTTTCCGTGGGGCTCGGCGACGCGTGCTGCGGCAGGATGCCCTACGCCTCCTCCGGCCACCAGATCTGCTGCGCGGGGGTCCTGCACGACGGCCGCGGGCGGCAGTGCTGCGGGGGCCAGGTGGTGAGCAGCGCGGTGCGGTGCTGCGGAGGCGAGGTGCGGGGCCTGGTGTACCCCGCCCTGCCAGGTAAGGGCCCACCTTCCATGCGGGGACACCCGGGAACCCTCCCGAGGGGGCGAGGGTGCCCTCGCTCAAGCTCACATTCACTGTGCCCTGTGCCGCGATCAGTAACACCATAAATAAAGCCGTGATGTTCCATTTCATCTGTGTACCTGATGGGATCCATCAGCACTCCCACTGGAGAGTGTTCCATACAGCAAAAAAAAAAAAAAAAAAAAAAAAAATAGTGCAAAACAAAACTGCTCTGGAGTCCATTGCTTCTGCAGCGAAAGAATGTTTCTTAGTCAAGACTTGGTCCGCACAAATTATCCTTCTCCTTACTATCCGTGAAACTAACACTAACAGCCATCCAGCTGGGAGTGGTCGTGTGCTCCTATAACCCCGGTGCTCTGGGCGGCCGAGACAGGAGGGTCCCACACTCAAGCTCGAGCCTGGACAGGTTGGTGACTCAGTGAGACTCAAAATTTAAAGGTGTGGGGACTTGGTGACGGGAGACCCCATCTGAAAGATTAAAGTGGGACGGTGGGTCAGTGCAAAGACTGGTTCAGCCCCCAGAGCTGCGCCACCTGCCAAGAAAGCAAATAGAAAGTAATGGTTATCGTTAAATGAGTACTTACTGTCTGCTGGGTGCTGTCCCAAGTGTTCTGCACATTACTGGTGGAATAAATTAATCTCAGCAATCTGAAAACAGGTGCTACTATCATGCACATTTTTAAAATGAGGAGATGGGCTGGAGTGAAGCTCAGTGTTAGAGTTCTCACCTACCACGCATGAGGCCCCGGGTTCGATCCCCAGCACTGCACACAAACAAACAGGTAAGGAAATGAACATGATAATAAAATATAAGTGAGGAAAATGAAGAATGCACACTAGAAATGTATCTGAGGTCATCAATCTAGTCAAATCTGGAGTTTGGGCCAGCTGAAACTTACATGATTTGGGAGCCTTTTCAGAAAAAAGAAAAATAAAGAAGGCCAACAAAATAGAGTGTTTATTTACAGTGAGAAAATGAATGACAAATCAAAAAAGAAAAGAAAGGAAGAAGAAAGAAAGAAAGAACACCCCGAGCAAATCCCACTACTGCGCGGGGAGCCCGTGTGCCTCCCTCCACCTGCCCCTCCCGCCGACCTCACATCCGCGTCCCTTTCCCTTACCCCACGGGCTTTGTACTGCAATTACCAGAGAGAAGACAGTCATTCTGCTTTGGTTCCACAGCTGCTTGTAATCATTCTGAGTTTGGAAAGAAGGCCCTCAAATTCACAGCGCATACATTGTGTCAATGTGTAGGATTCTCGTCAAATGCAGGAAACCTTCACAGGGGATCTCTCCGGCGTCCTGGGCCACCTAAATTGTTCTGATCTGAACGTGATTTGCAGTGACTTAATTGTTCGTGGGGTTGACTTTTTAAACCTGTATTTCATGGGTCTTCTTTCTAAACGTCTGAATCTGGGTTATAAGTTATCAGCAATGTCAGTATCCTGCCTGTAAATCAACAAGAAGTGGAACTTTCTCCAATGTATTTATGAGTCTCTTCTCTTCATAATTTACATGACCCAATAATCAAATCGCCTGTGCATTGCCTCAAATCTGAATCTATCATTTTCTTTCACTATTTTCAGTTATGATCTGAAATTTAATTTACTGCAATCCTCTTTTTTATATCAGAACAGTTAGAATTAATCTATTTTAGTTTTTCCAGTGTCTGCTTCATAGTTTTTTCTACCATCTGATTTTTTGTTTCTTTAAATCTTCCCCTTGTATGCATCTGAATTAGGAGTAAATCCACACACCCCACATCTTCACTTTGGATCTAAAATGGCATATTCAACACTTGGCTCTTTTTTTCTATGGGAGCGACTGAAACCAATGTAGTAAATACACTGAACCCAAATTAAATATTTCCCAGACTCCACCGCTGTTCCTTTATTGGCTTTGCTATCAAAGTGCTCTCTTTATTAACATTCCATTGACTAGAATTCAACTATATGTTGACATCTAAATACAAAGGGGGATGAGGGATTTTCCCATGAATCTCTCCCGCCTGTGGCCAAGAAGAAATTGTAACTCCATCGGTGGCTGGAAGGCCTTCATTCTTAGCTGACGTAAGTGTTCTGATACCTCTACAGCACTGGCTTGCTCCAACTCATACTAAATCCATGCCCATTTAATCTGATGAGCCAGTCCCGTGCAATGTAACAACCAAGTTGTGTGCATCGCCTGAATGGCCAGGAAAACAAGAACCAGAAATTAAAGAATCTGCCCTTTGCACACTAAATACTAGTACAGATTAGAAGGAAAGGTACTCTGTCTCTGGAGTATAAGCCAGTTGCTTTTAAAGTCTGTCCTCGGCACTTGAGGGGGTCTCCAAGAATCTTGCAGTGGTCTTTGAGATCAGAGCTACTTTTTACAATCACAACCAACCGTTCTCTGTCCTCGAAACTCCCACCTGCTCAGAAGCCCACAGCAGAGACTTCCTGGGCCTGCACGACAACTGAAGTTGCCAGGAACAGAGCACAGAGATGGATCTGAAAATTCAATTGCTTTCCATTCAATTAGACCTGAAGTGGGCTTGCAAAAATGCAGAACAGGGTCATTCTCATTAAATTTTTCAGTTTGGAAAATGTGTCTATTCTTCATAAATGTACTATGAATTTGTTATTATTTCTAAATGAATTAATAACTCTTTCAACTTTTGAAAATTCTAAGATAGTGAGCATTAAATGATATGACTCATATGCATAAAGACTATTCGGAGATCCCAATACTTGTGTGAGTACAAAGTGATCCTGAGATCAAAGGGATTTTAATGTACACTAGAAAATCATGGTGCTTGGGTAGTTTCCCTTTGCTCTGAGTGACCACTACCTCCTCTTCTTTTGGATGAAGAAGCTAAAATAGAAGCAAAGAGTATGTAAAAATGTTGTCTCCTTAATTCAGTAATAGGACAGAGTTACAAAATGACAGCAGAGTGTCTCATTTTATTGATGTTTTCAGTCAATTGCCATATTCCTTCAATCAATAAATATGTATCACATGGAGGCCGTATTCAAGATATCATTCTTTGTGCTTTCTGAGTACAGAAGTGGCCGATTCCACAAAAACTTACGGTCTAACTAAGGAGAAAAGTATACAGCAACTTAAAAGAGGAATAATAAATAAGACTGCTCAACAAGTCGCACCCAGGTGATAAAGAAAGCACCGTGCGGGCTGTGGCACAGGCAGTAAGCGGGACTTTTCAGAGGTGCTGCTGATGTAAACACAAGTGAAGAGTCTCCAAACACTTCCGAGTGAATGAGCTCGTCAGTGCATCGAAGTCTACATGCCCAGGAAGGAGGCAGACGGAGATAAATCTGAGCGGGCAGAAGGATTTGAACATTATTTAGTACTCTGGGAAGAATCAATGTGGCTGTGAGAGTGGGCTTAATGAGATTAATTAAATGTAGGTGAGGAATAAATGCGAAGGAGCAGGAGAGAGAAGGCGGTAGCTCTAAAGTTAGATGCTTCTGTGCTAATGAGGATGAGGAGTTTTCATCGCTTTTCCTTGAGAAGTCTTTGGAAAGTTGCAAAGTTTGACTTCAACGAAAAGCACACATAAAACATGCAAATCCGCCTGCCTTACAGTCTGTCCTGGACCCATTCCTCCTGAATGGCCAGGAAAACAAGAACCACACATTAAAGAATCTGCCCTTTGCACACTAAATACTTGCACAAATTAGAAGGAGGAATCTCTTCTGTACTTACTTCAATATGCCAAGCAAACATTCCTTAATCAAATTAAGTGGCCCCTCATCTCCTGTGAATCAAGATTAGAGGGTAGCTGCTTATGGCTCCTTTTAAATGCCACCAGCTCATGGAATCATGGCAGACTGGAGAAATAACACTTAAAGAGGAAATATAAAAAGAGGTGGAGAGTCTCTCTGAACGCTGCAGGAGTCCCTGAGAAAACACAATCCTGCATGGCCTTTTGCCTCTCCGCTGTTGCTAGTTCCTCTTGTGCCTAAGGACTGCAACCTCAGTGACCTTCTAGAACATCCACGTAGCCCTCTTTCTCCCCAGGCTAGATACACACTGTCCCTGCCACACAGGGCTTGCATTGCACCTCCTTCCCGAGCCCGGCATTGTGAGCCTGCCACACGCCCGGGCAGGCTCATAAAACATCTCTTTATGTACTTTATTACTTAAACTCTTTTATTTGCCTGCAGGAGCCCTTTAACAAAATCACATTGAATTGACTTTCTCACACCAAATCAAATCTCCCTGGTCCCAGTTCAGTTGTCTTTGTCAATATGTATTTTATAAATGGAGTGAATTAACAGATGCTTTGCCGCAGAAGTGCTAGGGTAGCGTTTATGTTTTTAGTGCTCTCTCTGGGCAGATGAGTTGTGCCGAGTGTTATACAGGTGTCTCGGGATGGAAGTGCTCGTCATTCCACGAGATGGATCCTTATCCATCTTCTTTGAATATATTTCAAGCCCCTTTATTACTCATTTTTTTCTTACTCTTTCCTTATATGGTTTTACCATCTATGGCACTCATCTTGGGTCAGACGTGAGATATCCTAGAGCACTAAATGATGAAAATTAAAGCCTTTCTAGCACTCGAAGGGGAAGGATTTTTTTTGCGAGCCATGGGAAACCTTGGGAATGTATTCCTTTACTTCTATCATAAATTTTGCCCATGCAACCTTTGATCTGAAACTGTATATTGAAATTGTTTCCAAAAGGCTGTGTTTCCATGTCCTGGACTCTGACTTTTGCAAAATAAATGACTGCCACCAATAAAATGACTGTTTCCTAAGATGGAATTTTAGAATTCCACAAAGAAGGGAGGATAGCCACAGAAACCTATGATGTAGGGAGTTGGGTTGAAAGAATGTATCCCAAAGATGTCCATGTAACAAAACAAATTTTTGAAAAACGTAAAGATCTACATGCTATAAAATTTATTGCGATTATATAGCCCATACTCTTCCCTCCGCCTTCTTTCTGTCTTGTGGTGTTAGGTAGGGAGCCATCTAGTGGGAAATACAAGCACGGGTTTCTTTTCTTGAGAGCTCTGCCAACCGATTTTATGTTTGTCCTAAGAACTCATCATGAAAGAGTATTTTCTTTCCTCTAGACCCAAAATGTGCAATCTCACTGCTCAACATGTAGCTCCTCCAATCAACCCTGAAGTTCCATAATGATTATCATATTCCACATTGCTTTTTACTACTGTTTTCTTTTTTAACCTTAAAAGCATGATGCATAATTTTTGGTTTTAATTTGGAAAAATACAGGTCTTATTTTGAAGGTGAAACTATTTTGAAATTAATGAAGCAGATATATTTATAAGCAATTTCTTTTTGACTCCTTAATATTAAATACGTTTGTTGGCACATTTGAAGTATTGATAATATTGTAAGTAAAAATTCTTGTCTCCGTTCTTTGTTCAAAAAGCCCCCCATTGGCTACATCCACAGTGTAGAGAGACAATATGTGCTGTTTGACCCAAAAAATAGCCATCTACAAGTTTGGTGTGCACCACACCACTTCAATAACAGCTGTATTTGCTTGCCGAGACTCTGTGCCTTTGTACAAATTTACTGAAGATCTTCTGCAAGAATAGACCGATCCATCAATAACGCATAGTATATTTTTGTTGTTGTTGTTCTTTGAGCATATTTAAAATTGTGCATATTGTGTGTCAAAGTTCAAAAGTCAAATGCTACATGTAATAGATGAGGTAGGGGTCAAAAGCTATTGCAGTGCAGTTTGGGAAGGTTGTCTTTCTCTGAATATGCAGCTCATTCATGCTGAAGTGATGCACTATGGGAATTACTACCAAACTCTGCCCTGCAACATCTGTGCTCCCTAAGTGAGTTAGTGCACGTCAGACATCTTTATGTCAGAATATCGCAGTGATGGATGCAGTCTTCAGAAAATGCTGCATAAAAATCTGGTGTGCCGTTCTGGCCATTAAGTGAAATTACTATTTAAATTAATGGCACTGTCACAGTTTATCTGTACAAAGAATGAACGCTGATTAGGGTATTAAGTAATTAGCAATTTATCACACTGGAACAAGGTTGATAATAATTAAAGAAGTAATGGTTTACCAAAGAAACTAGAAAGGGAGTCACTTCTTGTTATGCAAGTGAAATCCTGGCTGAAAATTTCAATTCAGTGAAACAGAGATGAAGCTCTTTGTGAGAGAAAGCACCCTTTTTCCTGTTTTGTTTTTTTCTTTCTAGTGTAAAAACAGTTCATTATCAAAATTTTACTTGACCTGTCAAAAGCCCCTCAGAGCGATCAGATGACTGATTAGGAATTTAGAATTAGGTCAGGGTCTGCATTTTGATTTCATACTTAAAGAACGGTAAAACCACAGAAGAGTAATTTGGAATGGAGGGGGAGAAAGACCAGTTTTCAGATTTTGATTGTTTTTAAAATAGAAGCGTGAATAGTTTTAAGAAAATTGCTGGAGAAGAATGACAGAAAGAATCCAAGGTTCATTCAGTAGTATATCTCATAGATACAGACAGGAGCGTGGAATAAGCTGTTTCAATAGTGTTTAATACTGACGAGGAGAGAAAAGAGTAATATTAAAGATATGCTATATACCTATATCATTAAATCTTTAAAACATTAAATACATTTATTCTTGTTTATGAAAAAATCCAAGGTTGTATTTAAATGTCTGATCAGGAAGTATCAGAAAAATATCTGAACGATACAAAAACCTAAATTTTTTGTTTCTATTTTAGGTGTGTACACACTTCAATGTCTGTTGGTATTTGCGTATGTATATACACACAAAAACCAACCACCCTCCACCCTGTAAAGAAAACTCAGTCTACAATGATAACTCTGCTGTTCATATTTTATTTGAGAGAACTTTGCTTGGAAATCTTAAAACAGTAAAAAGCTATTCACACAACAGTCTTTTTAAGCCAGTCACTTTAAAGAATTATCACATTTAAGTAAACATAGTTATCGAAACTCTATTGTGATTAGTGTATAGTATTAATCATAAAGAAAAATTTTAAATATTAAAAGATATTTTTACAAATGGAGACAAAAATAAAAAAAGTTGTTTGGAACCACATAGATAATCATCCTTAAGGCGTGTACCACACTGGCTCTACTTTCGAGGATTAAGAAAAGAAGTATTTAAAACTCCTTGCTCTATGATTCGGAGTGCAGTGCATAGCTCAGATGTTTGTACAGGACCAGATTAAACAATGCAGGACCTAAGGGCGCTTTGAATTTGAGGTTCTTTATATTATCATTTGGGCCTAATAATAAATAAACAAAATTCTAATTAAGGTAAATCACTCCTACATTGTGTGGCTCTATAATTGCATATCAGTTCTGAGATGATAGGATTGTAGTGTGGAATCTAGGCATCTTAATTTCTAGCTTAATCAGACTCTAGAGTATTCTTCACTCAGGCTTTTATATCTAAATTTCTGCAGTTTTTGTTCTCTGGCAATAACTAAATGAGGAGAATGCAGGTAATTAAACTGAACTTTCTGGGAGAAAGAAGGTCTATGTGTCTCGGGCTCGTATCTCTACAGGAGATGCAGCAATCGAGGCTGGCTCTTCCCTGAAAGCCCTTTCTCTGGCTTCCCCACCCTCTAAGCTGTCCCTGCACAAAGGTGCAGAACAGAGCCAGGCTGAACGGTACAGCTGACCAGTCAGGGTGCTCAGCTGGTCTGAGATGCCACCTCTTAAGTCATCAAGAAAGAATCTACAAAGGTGCCCACATCTCGGATGACCTCTTATCCCAGATGGCCTGGGTGATCTCTCCTTCCCTGTGAATTTCTGGGCCTTTCTCGGAGTACTCTATTCTGTCTGTCATCTGCAACAAGATATTATATCCTCCCCAAACAGTCAGGCAGTTTTGATGATAGAAATCTGATCTATTTTTATGGAGCACAGGTGAAGAGTGGCCCAGCTGAGTGGTTTCCAAACATTTCCTCTTGTGTGTTCTTTGGCTAATTAGCGTCTGGCGCTCGTGGTAAGAAGGACCCTCACCACACATTTAAATCACTGGGGTAGAGAGAAGCTACCTTAGCCCTCGCAACGTTCCTGAAACTGCCCAACTCTGATGTTTTTAACACCACGCTTTACAGTAGTCTTGGTTTCCTACCCTTTTTTACTTCATATTCATATATAGCATTTTATTGTTGCAGGAATGTTGTGTTGCGGGCAGGATTATGTGAATATGTCAGATACCATATGCTGTTCGGCCTCCAGTGGAGAATCTGAAGCACACGTTAAAATGAATGTCGCAGAGCCAGGAAAATGCTGTGAGACCGAACTTATCCCAGAGAGCCAGAAATGCTGTAATGGAGTTGGATATAACCCTTTGAAATATGTTTGCTCTGACAAGATTTCAACAGCAGCCACGATGAAGGTAATTGATGAGAAGCCTCTCGGAGACGCTGATTTGACAATGGGAAGAGGAATACATTGTTCGTAACTATTTTTCTAAAATAGGAATATAAAAACTCCTGTGTGCGTTGCTCATTTTCACATTATATCCATATTAATACCGAATATGTTGGCTGTGATTGATGTTATTGCAATGAATTCTAAAGGAATTAATAATGATTAGCTGTTCTCAGGAAAGCGTTGTCCAGCACCTCTGATGAGTGCAGGACTGGAATTTGTGTGCAAGGGGAGTTGCTCGGCTTGTCCTGGTCCCCTGCATGGTATTGTTTCATGGCCCTGAGTGCTGGAGATGGAGCTGGGTGGGAACTCTAGCTCCTTTGGATCACCCATCACCTGCATCTGCCATCTTCCCTTCATGGGAACCTTGGGACACTGATTCACTCGACTGAGTTTCTCTGTCTTCCTTTAGATAGAATGGAACGAACAGATGCTGATGTTAAACCCCAAAGTGAAGGACCAATCCTGGTCATCTCCTGTGACCCTTCTATCTACACATGCCGCACTTGTGGGCATCACACCTGACCAAGGTCCCAGAAACCTATAGCGTTAAGCACTGGTGAGCAAAACACTGTGCCATATGTTGGAATTGGTTTTCATCCTAAAGCAGCTAAAAATGGGTCAAAGATAGCGGAAGGACACTTGCTGAGCATGGCAACTACACGATCCTTGTGAGGACATCATACACACTGGACATGAAATTATTCTTCTCAGATTGTCAGCCCCTCAGCAAGACCTTCGTAACAATAAATGATTAGATGATACATAAGGTTGGTTAAATTATTATGACAAGGTAGTATTTCTCCACATAGACTCGGAGAGCAGGTGGTAGGTGATTTTCAATACGTAAATTCCACCACTTTTCCTGAAATCCCTCTCTTGGAGATTTTCCTCTTCTATTTCAGTGTGAAGGGGAACCTTATAGCATGTCATGCAGGGCTTTCCAAAGCTAGCAATCAGGAATTTCTCCCACCCCACCCCATGTTGGTACCCTGAATTCTGGGTCCTGAGTTTCCTCATTTTGGAGAATTGTCTTCTCATTTGTTGGTGTACAGAAAGTAATTCAATGTTTGAAATGGTCATTATTTTACCCTCCACTGCATTAATGGCTTGGCCAGATATGTATTTCAAGGATAAACATTATTTCCACTCAGAATTTTGTAGATGTTTCTACAGTTTTTAGGCTTCTAGTAATACTTTGATTCGTGTTTCTTTATAGGTAAGGTTTTCAAAATGTTTTTATCTTTTTCCTCTAAAATTTCATGAAAATGTATCTCACTATGGAGCTCATTAGCATTCACAATGGTGTGTTTTTGTGGAATTTTTCAGGCTGAAGTCCTCCGAGAAATATTATCTTATTATTCATTTGAAAATTGGCTTTTTCTTTTATCTCTCTTTTATCCACCAGTTGGCTATTTCTCTTCCTAAACTGATGTTTTAGTTTTCTCCTTCTTGCCGTTCCTTGTCTATTGATCCACCCTTCATTTTTTTTCAGTTTCACAATACGTCGCCTTAACGTTCTCTTTCATCCCATTAACCTCTTCAAATTTCACCTGTCATTTTAAACAATGTAATGCCTCTCCCTTTGCTGATTTTTGTTTAACTCACGTCCACCTACTGCTGTTTCATTCCAGGAGTATCTATTTTTAGCATCCTGAAAATATTAGTTACTTGTTGCCTTTTCATTGTTCCCGTTATATCTTGAACTGTCTCATTTATTCTTTGGATGCAATTTTAGTTTTCTTTTTCTTTTCCTGTGTTTTTTCTCATGCTCACGCTGAACTTCTTTCTCTGTGCTTGGAACTCTCTTCTTTTCCCTGGAGGCTGACTGAGACCTTGTTGTGCGGAGCCTCGCCCTGGCCCTCAGTGGGGAGCACAGTAGGTTTATCATGTGGCAAGGTGGGTTTTTCGCAGGGAGTCACTTTAACAAGAACCTTTAACCAGCACACTTAATTAACTGTCTTTAACACTGTACCCCAGGTCGGAATGGTGCACACGCTTGGCTGCGGCACTTGGGTGATCCTGGAGGGAAGGGGGCAAGGGTTCTCGGGGTGTAACATGCACAGTAGATTTCCCAGATGTCCACTGGCACCAGGCTTCTACGCTGCTGGGGCCCTCCCTGCCTCTTCCTTTTAATTTTCCAACTCTTTCCTGGGCTTGTCTCACTTTGTAATGTCTTGCCAAATGTATCAGAGTGATGCACACAAACTGCTAATGATCCAGTTACAACCTCCTCCCCTGCCCAGGGAGCTCGGAGCACATGGCTTGCCTTGACAGTTGTCCAGGGCCTAATTGTACCAAACATTTTCCCATGTCATCCAGAACTTGCCAACCTCCTAACCTCCACTATTTCAGGGTTTCTGTGGCTACAGCTGCCTAGCATATACTAAAGTGAAGACAGGTAGGCCAGTGTGAGAGGGTTCCAAAGGGGAAAATGTTTACCATTGTAAATTGTGTGTAACTTGATGTCTGTGTGTACACTGGGAAATGATCCCCACAATTAAACTACTTAGTATGTGCATCTGTAAACGTACAGTTTTCTTTCCTTTCCTTCTCTCTTCCTCTTCCTTTTCCTTCCCCTCTTCTCCTCCTACCTTTTACCATTTTCCTCTTCCCTCTCCTCCTTGCCCACCTCTCCTTCTTGTTCCTTTTCCTTTGTGTGTGTGTACATGCATGAGTGATGAGAATGCTCATGCCCTGCTCACTTAGCAAAATTTTGTTTCAATTTATTTCATTACATTCCAACATATTACAGTCTCAGGGGAGTCATTTGGTCCCCTCCAACAGCATCTCGGGGTCCTGAGACCCTTCTGTCTTGTGCCACTGCACACATAGCCCTCGCATCCCCATGAGAAGGGAAACGAGTGGATCCTTGCACTCTGGCAGGCCATCCTTGGGCACCAGGAAGTCGGTGTACCCTCTCTGTGCATTTGTCATCCAGACAAATCTCATTATGTGGCTCTTCTTACTGTAAACAGGCTTTGAAATCCCATGCTTGCAGGGATAAAAGAAAACGGTAGACATCAGTAGGCTCGTGGCATTGTGTCTGCTCCGTTCCTCTCCTTCCCAGCTTCTAGAAGTTTGAACACTGCTATATATCTTATTTCTCTTCCTGTTTCCTAAGACTTTTCACATTTATTTTATATGTACCATTATTTTACTGTCAGTTTGCTGGGATAAGAAGATGTAGAGGTAAGTACAAGTGCTCAATTTGCCATTTTTAGGTAGAATTTCCAGTATATTTCTCTGAAGCAATGTTGTTTAACCAACTTGGTAAGAACAATTTAACCCATTTTATGTAAGGGAGACGTGGAAGAATGGAGAAGCTGCCATATTTAGGGGTGTTTAAATATTTAAATTACTCAGATTAGAATGATTACTACCACAAGTGTAAAGTCCAGAGATTCATCAGGGAAAATTTTTTTAAAATATAAGTATAATGGCAGCTCATGGCATACTTTAGACTTCTGAAAGTTGGATAAGTAGTGTTTCTTAAAGTTCTAACTTTCCCATTAGCACGAGGAGTGCAGATTATCAACTATTCCATTCTCTGTTTACTCCGGAGTATCAAATTGTCAAATGTCAGGCCTGCTGTCATTGTTTGCGGTGACCATTCTGAGCCTAAGACACGCACAGGGGTCATCTCACTTCCTTCACAGAGCAAACCTTCATGGCAAATTTAATTTCCATTTCTCCCCTCTCAAGCAGCTGAGGCTTTGAGATGGTGTTTACAGATGTAGGAATTTGCAAAACTGCAATCTTAAACTCAGTCTGGGTTCTTTCAAAGCAGCCTACTTGTTTGGAGACAAACCACTTTGGTTTCTTTCCATGAATTTTGAGACATTCATTATCAAGCAAGTCAGGAAAAAATCATCTGAAAGATACACAAACCTACCCAAGATGTGTGTCCAAGGGAAAGCTTAAAATCCCTTCTCCCTCTCTCCCCGCCCATCCGCCACCCCAGGGAACCAGAGCCTGTGGAACTCTCTGCCCAGCGTCTATGGAAGCCACTGCTCACTGTGGCCGCTGTGACTTCAACTCTACCAGCCACGTCTGCGTGGTGACAACTGGGTCCCACAATTTCACAGGGAAGGCATCGACTGAAGAAACATGCCCATCTCTGGAAGACACTGTGCACATGGGAAGCACAGACACCTTCTCCTTCACAGGTGACGGAGGCAGGCTGGGCAGGGGCGGTGAAAAGCTGCTGGAAATCCAGATTTGCTTCTCTCTGACTTCTACCCCCTGTCTCTTGCTCTCTGATCCCTTTATCTCATAACACATTAATTATAAGCTTTGCCTTGTGTCTGTCCCCATCTCTCCTGTGACACTATTTGTGTCACTGGTAGGTCTTTGTTAACTTTTTCCTCATTATTTGCATTTAGTGTGCTATACACCATAGCAATATTTGGTTACAAAAGTTCTCAGCATACAGGACAATTTGTCCGAATTTCTATTTTCTTCCTGCACTCAGTTAAAGATTTGAATCATGGACCCTCATTTTAAAATTATTCCTGTTTGTAGGAACTTTCTCCTTTTATCTGCCCCTCATAATCAAAGTCAAGAGTCTGAAGATCTTTTAAGACCTACTTGCCATATCTCTCTCCAGAAGTGAAGAGGTGTTTCCACATATGAAGGGAAGGTTATGAGGGCTTTTAAAATCTACTCTCCAGATTGCTTTTCTGCCAGAACATACTGTAAATTGAATATGAAAGATTGCAAACCTCCCCTTTTCACAGAGAACATGAAGCACACGAGTGGTGCTCTAACAATTCCATTGAAATCAATTTACACTAACAAGTTAACCATTTAGAGAAACTTGGAATTAACATCTAAGCACCAGCATTAACCAAAATTTATTCACTGGTGTACTCATTAGTTTATCTATTTTTTAAGGGGCTTGGGGTGTGGCACAGTGGTAGGGAATTTGCCTAGTGTGTAGAAGGTCCTGGGTTTGATGACCAGCACCACAAAAACAAAAATGAAAGTAAATACCTACTAACAGGCAGGCACTACATTAGGGCCAGCAGTTTAAGCAAGGAAGAACTTCCATGTCTGAAGAACTCGCAGGGGTGACTGGGAGTACACTCTCCTGCACAACTGCATCATAATGTGATGAACGGGCTGTGTGTAAGCACCAATAGAAGCCCACGTTGTCGATGTCTGATGCTTTTGAAGAGTGTTGTAGCAACACCTGGTGCACCTGGGAAGACTTTGGGAAGACACTGCGTCTGAGGGTGAACCAAAGGACCAAGTGGAGCCGGTGAAGTCAAGAGAAGACAGAGGAGGCAGCGTGTTTACAAAGCTCAGGAGCCAGCAAGTGCCTCCGGGGGAGGCAGAGTGGGGAGAGGAAAGATGGGGGACAGGGAGCAGCAGTCAAAGGTCATGGTATAGCAGAGATCCTACCGGCTGATCAGGCCACATTAAGCACTTCATCTTTGTGCAGGAATGAGTGGCTGGAAAGCTTGCTAACTACGGGATGACTCAAGCGTATATACATTTTCCAAGGAATAGACTGTCAGCTCTTAAAGCTGTGGTTGAAAGACAAATGCTGTATATATGGAAATAACAAATAAATATTGCTTAAACCTGTCCTCCAAACCCTCAAATACCTTCCGTTATTGGAAGGTTAGTCCCATGTAATGTACAGAATGATCCCGAGCCAGGAAGTTTTAAAAAGCAGTGTGTTGGGAATGGAGATAGGAGAGTTGGCAATTATTGAAAGAAAAATAAAACTTTGAAAATGAGACAGATTTCTGAGGAAAGGCAAAACTTCAGCAAATGACTCTACGTAAAGCCAAAGGACTGTTTACATGAGCTGAGAGCAGCTTTGAAAGACCAGGGCTTGCAGGAGAAAAAAGTGACAGGAAGAAATGAGAGGGTAAAGGAGACCCAAAAGCAGTAGGAAAAAGAATGTGGAAAGCCCCTCCGAGAGCAACTGTACTAGAAACTGTGATAGAGGCCTAAACGTGCAGAATAATAGTTATCAGCACAGAGAAGTTTAACGTGCCAGCACAAGGAGATGTAACATGTACTAAGCAGTTGTGGGTGGACAGGAGGTCTGGACAGCTCAGTCCTCCAAGGTCACTGGAAGGCTGGAGGCTTTCGGTCTTGTGGCTCATTAGGCTTCAGGAGGTATTTCCATTTGCAGGGTGCAGCCTGGGATCTTACAGCTCCCAGATCCAATCCTTCTGCAGGAGATTCCTGGCAAAGGGAGGCAGAGGATTCCTCTTTAAAAGGAATTTAGAGCCTGCCCATTTCTCATTCATACTCCTTCAGAGGATGAGAGCTGAATCCTTTGATCATAGCTGGCATCAAAAGAAATGGGGAAATTTAGCTTCTAACTAGAAGTTAGGGAGACAGGATGGAAGAGATATTTGGGGTCTGCTGATGGTCCCCACTGAAAAGTAGTGTAGGTATCCTACTAACAGAGAAAAGAGACAGAACGTAATTGTGTTACACAGCAGGAAATACTTGAGATATGTCAGCTTGTACGGAAGAAAAGGTTTATGTTGGAGGTTTTAGTCCATAGTTGGTGGATCCTATGCTGTGGAACCTTTTGTGAAGTAGTTCATCTTGATGGAAGCCGTGGCAGAGGAAGCTGCTCACCTCATGGTAAATAGGAATCAAAAGGAAGAGGAAGAGATCTGAATCCCCAGATCTGCCTTCAGGCCATGCCCCACCATGACCTCACTTCCTCCTGCTCCCTCCTTCCTCTCCAAGTTTCCACCCCTGCCCAATGACTCTGCAGACAGGGCGGGCTATGACTTTAATACATGGACCTTGGGGGAAATTCAAGATCCAAACTCTCACGATAATCCTTTACATTTATAGGGAAATTTGCATTTTATGAAGTTCTACCACATAACTTACTCTGTTTTATTTTCATATTAATTCTATAAAGCAGGCAGGGCAAGGTTAATTGGAAGGAGAATGTGTCTCAAAATACCCAAGGGGATAGGCTGAGTTCACACCACATCCAGTGAATAGAATATGGGTGGCCAGGGCCTCCTCCGTGGGTCCTCCAGCTGCGAAAGAGTTATTGAAAACAGCAAAGAGATGTTGCAGCTTTATAGATTAAGTGGAAAATACATTTAAGTAGTTAATTTTTAAAATAGAAATTTTCCTGATGTCTGGAGTATTTATACTTCTTAGGTTAGTAAAGTTTAACATGAAGCTGAGGCTTTGAGGACAGACAGTGTAGACTCGAGCAGGAGTGTTTTAATAAAACATTGGTCAGTACAGAATCTCAGCACGGATGGCTCTATTGTTTTAAGCGAGATGGTGATTTTTGGTTTGGGCTGCAGTTCTGGTTTTGGTAGAAAAGGACAGGAATATGCAGTGGACTGTGTGTGTGTGTGGTTACTCATTACTATGGTACCAGGAGAAGGTCAGTTTTGAGTCCTCCACTAGAATTCATATGCTATTCTATTGAAGTAGCAGCAACCAAGTAATAAGAAATAATACTTGGTAAAATTTATAATAACAAAACTAAAAAATGATGTTGCAAACCTATTTCAAAGGGAGGTGAATACACCAGCTTATGAAGCATCTAACTACCCATTGGCCTGGAGTTTTTACTTTTCAATCACTGCTTCAGTGTTTCCATGTCTCTCTGTACAGAATCCATGAATCCTATTCTGTGAAATTCGATGCCACCTCTTCTACTACACATTTAAAATGTGTTTTATGGCTTTATGTATGGGGGTATATGGGTGTTGTTTTTTGAGACAGGGCCTCACTATGCAGTTCAGACTGGCCTTGAGCTCACCTTGTAGCCCAGGGCTGCTCTCAAACTCACAGTGATCCTCCTGCCTCAGCCTCCTGAACGGGATTACAGGTGTGCACCACCATGCCCGGTTGTTTTTTGACTTTGAAACAAAGATATTAGAATTTTGTTTATACACAAAGAAAGGAGAGCATTGTTTTATATATATATAAGTTTAGATATTTATTTTTAATATGATAGTTAAAAAATAGAAACAGAAACACATGACAACCCATGTTTTGTCTTTCCAGACATGTATCTCAAGCCCTACACGATGTATGAATATAGAATTTCTGCATGGAACAGCTACGGGCAAGGATTCAGTCAAACTGTTAGAGCCAGCACGAAAGAAGATGCCCCTGAGGGAGTGCACCCCCCTCGGTGGACCAAAGTGGGCGATCTTGAAGATACGATTGTCTTACACTGGAAAAAACCTATACAATCAAACGGTATCAAGCGATTTTTAAAATAAAATGACCGACTTAATCTGTATTGCTGTGCTATCTCACCCGCAGCCATCTGGTGTGGTGCTCAGGAAATTTTGGCATAAATAAACAATGCACAAGCTTGAATATCACATTGTTTCTCTTAAATGAGAATCCCAGGGTAAAAACAGAGAGTCAAATAAAAGAGAATAAGAAATAGGGAGACAGGTCCTTCTCAGCAAGGAAAGAGATCAAGAGATGAAGGGAGGCCCAAAACAGGAAAGAGATAAGGGATTTTTAAAGAAGGAATTGGACCTGTGCATGGTAGTGCGTGCCTGTAATTATAGCACTTAGGAGGCTGAGGCAGGAAGATCATTGAGAGTTTGAGACCAGCCTTGGCTGCAGAGTGAGCTCAAGGCCAGCCTGAACTGCATAAAGAGACCAAAAAAAAAAAAAAAAAAGGAATTGGGATTATTAGGTACATGCACCAACTCCACCCAAGTAATGTAAACATTGCATACTGCAAATGTGAATCAAAAGAGGACAAAAAGGGATCAAAAGATGGGTGGAGCCCAAGAGAGACAGGAAAGGGAATGACAGAAATTAGGATGCGCTACGCACAGGTACCAACTTCCCACAAGGAATGTCATCATGACATATTACACACACATACTTATTATTAACCAAAATAATAAAAGAAGTTCCTGGAATCATAACCTATGTCTGAGCTGTTTTCAAATAACCAAGGTACGTTCAGCTGAGTCAAAATAGTTTTACCACTGAAAGTCAATTTCAAAGTTTGATACTGAAGAGAGATAAACACAGATGATTTGATCATGTCAAGAATCCAGGTCCTTGTGATAATATAAGTAAGACCTGCCTGAATGTGACAGTATGGAACCAAATTAAAATTAAATATTGCCACAGTGTCCCACTTCTTCAGGACATGAAGGCATGTAAGTTGTTTGCAAAGAGTTAAAATTATACGATACTCTGGTGCAGTCATTTCTCTGTGTCTTTTAGGTCCCATCATTTACTATAGTCTTCTCCGAAATGGAGTTGAACGTTTTCGGGGCACTTCCTTGAGCTTCTCTGATACGGAGGGAATCCAGCCATTCCAGGAGTATTGCTACCAGCTGGCAGCCTGCACCGTGGCAGGCTGTACTACCAGCCGCAAGGTAAGAGCCTGAGGGACATTTCCAGTCCCTCAGATACAAAGCAAGGTCCCCTTGGCAATGTATCAAGCAGGGCATTCATTATTCACCTAAGTAGGCTCTAACACTTACCTCTGCAAGAAGGGATCGCTCTAAGGTAGATTCATCCAAATATCAATGTTTTATTAATTAAAAACAAATAAAACATTGAACCTGTATTTTGTCTTTCATATTCTCCCCTCATCAAGTATGATTGTGATTGCTGTGCTTTGGAACAATTTCTTCCCAGCCAAACTCCCGCTGAAGCTGGGTCACAATGTACAGCATTGGCGGGGTGGATGGACCTTCAGGAGGAGCTGGGTCAGGAGGGATCTGCAGGAGATCAGTGCTCTCTGAGGCTAGATCACTTCCCACAGGAGTGGGCTGTGGAAGTGAGGCCACCTCTGGTCTTGTTCCTTTCACCTAAGCCCATCTACGCTTTCGTTTCTACCTTGAGATGACACAGCACAAGGTCCTCATGGGGGGCAGCCACCAGAACCAAAGGTCAGAAATATAAACCTCTTTCCTTTATAAGTCGCCCACTAGCTATTGTCCTATTAGAGCAACAACATATAGAATAAGATGCTGATATTCTATAAATCCAGAAACACTTTCAAACCAGCCCTCAGGTGAAAAGAACTTATATTTAAATACCATATGTTTTTTAAAATGCTTGCTCTTTTTTTTTTTTTTTTTTTTGTCTGAGACAGGGTCTTACAATGCAGTTTAGGCTGGCCTTGAACTTGAAGCGATCCTTATGCCTCAGCCTCCCAAGGGCTGAGATTACTGTTTTATGCCACCACACTCAACAAAATCCCTGCTCTTAAAAAATGGAAAAGAACAAATAAGCTTAGCATAGAAAGTAATAATAATAATAAGGCTTCAGTAGTAGCCTCAGCAAGAAATAATGAAGACTTGAATTCAGAGAGCAGGGGAATCTACAGGGCTCGATATCAGCTCTGCAGGGGAACCACAGGAAAGTCTCATAAGCGGTTTCAAGACAGCTGGTTTGAGAAGTTTGTGGATTTAGTGCCATTGTGCCAGAACGTTTTTTAAAAAAAGGTAAATGTTAAGAGTAAATAAGATTAAAATTTTAAATTAAAAACACTTAGGAAGCTGATAGCAGGGCAACAGAACAAGTTACTATTTTACATGAAAATGTTTAATTGGATGCTGGATTAGGTAACTGGAGTTTGAAGAAAGATCTATGCAGGAGATTAAAGCGCTGAGTTTAAACGTGGGCATCCAGAGAAACTCTAAAGGGAGAAAAGCAGGATCCCGTGGATGAGCATTGGGGAGCGCTAACAGGAAAGGAAGAAACAAGGACCCACAAAGAAGAGAAGGAAAAACAAGCAGTTTAGGAGGAAAATAAAGAGACAGCAAGTCACAGCAGCCAACCACGGTGTCAGCAGCAGCTGGAGAGGAAATGCGCGTGCACCGGACAACTCCGGACCTTTCCATCTTTAAACTTGAGCACAGCAGGAGAAGGAACCAAGTGCAAAGTGCTCAGTCCTAGGTAGGTGCAGGGGCGGAAGCTGCTGGAGCACCAGGGAGGAGCCGCGCCACAGCCCAGTGATCCTCCAGCCACCCTTGCTTTTTACACAGCCTGGCTCACGTCTACCAGGTGCCAGAACAACTGGCTGAAAAGTAAGACACCAAAAAAAAATGCAGCCGATGTTTGTCCAAAACTGCATTTTGACATTATCGACTCACTAGCTGGGTGAACTTGCATCTTTTTTCCTGCTCATTTGCTTGTTTTTCTAGGACACTGATGCAGACCTATAAAACCATCCCTGGTGTCACCGGAAGAGTGCTCAAAGGTCTGCCCATTTATACAGCTCAAAGCATATTATATGCAAGCAAGTCTGGAGATAGGTTTTGCTCCATATTTACTGGTGCTTAAAATATACCAAATCAGGCCGTTAAAATGCAAAGACACTGGTGGGCCATATGGAAGAGAGTTATCCAGAGTTCTCCGGGAAGATGCCGTGCAGCCAGCTCCTCCTTGTTTAAACCGAGGGCTGCACGCCGCCTTCAGAATTGTTGTTGAACCTACCGTGATGAATGGTAGTGGGAGACTTATGTAATGCATTCAAGGTCAGATTTCATTGTTTAAATAGGAAGGGAGGAAAAGAATGAAAAACAAAAAGAGGAGGGAGACCGCTTCTCCAAGCCCGTGCTAATGCTGCGCCAGCCAGGCCAGACAGCAGCGTTGTAAAACAAAAGTGACTTTCCTATTGTTCAGGAGACCCGGTGTACTGTTTCAATAAATCGCTGTTTAATTCCTCTGCTTCCAGGTAGTTGTCACCATGACCCAAGGAGTTCCAGAGAGTGTCAGGCCGCCCAGCATCACGCCCCTGAATGCTGAGTCTCTGCATCTAAGCTGGAGTGTCCCGGGGAAACCAAATGGTGTCATTAAACAGTACCAGCTCTGGCAAGGTGGCAGAGGTCTCATCTACACTGATATCACTCACCGGAGGCAGCATACGGTCACAGGTGAAAAAAGCAGAAAAGCAACTGAAGGAGTCTGTCGTTACAGGGAGGGCGCAGGGCGTCCCAGGGGCGTGTGCTTGATATATGAGGTCACTTTGAAAGGACGTGTACTCTTGACATATGGTCAGGTCCCACTTATCCATGCTAATAGAAGAGCCCACACTGGCAGCAATAACCCACAACAGCGGAGAACTTCAGAAATAATTTATACTTGGCTTTGATATGCATTAGGAGTAGGGTTTTTGCATCGGTATTAATTTTTTTTTTCAAACAAACAGTGAGGTGCATTTCACTCCTCAAGGGTATCCTCACAGATAATGGGCTTGGGGCCGCCAAGAATGAACGGAAGGTGGGAGAAAATCACCTAGGAGCTGACGTCCGTACGCTAAGTGGGTAATTCAGACACACAGCTAGGTGACAGTTGACTGGTTGTGACTCTTATTACTGTACAAAGTAATTGCGTTATTTTAATTTTGTATGATAGCACTGTGTTTATTATAGCTAATAACGTGATAAAGTACAGCACAATAGTATAATGTTAGATAATTGTTTGTAGTGACTATAATAACAATTAACATGCGTTCCATGGATGTTGCTTTGAAGGGGAAAAGATGCATATTCTGGTGTAGTCAGCAGCGGCTTTCCTCGGCAGCTCTGTCTCATCACTGTGTGCTGTTTGAACTGCAGACCTCTCAATGCCTGGTATTTTAGTATCTGGCTTTTCTATGACCTCCCTCCAGTGCAGCACTACCGGAGCAGGGACCTGACTCACCTCTTTCCATGCTGCATCAGTAATGCCTAGAATAATCCTTAACTCAGCAATAGGAGCTAAACAAATGCAGAATAAAGGAATTTCCCACCTGCCAAAGACTACCTGAGCCCTCAGCTTGTGCCAAGTTGGCTGTCTTCACAAACCTGTGGTATAGAAAGCATTGTCACCTCCGTGTTATAGGAGAGAGTACTTTGGGAGATTGCGTATCTCAGTGCCTTCCTTGGGTCCATGAGTTTGTCCCTGACCATTGTGAAACTTCATATGCTGAAAATGTACTTGCATGTGGGAACATTGTTTTTCTTCGGAACCTCAGCTAACCCAGAGACCACGGGTATGGCGAAATCCCTAATCCATTCAAAAGATCACCTTGGCTTCCTATTTTTATTTTACTTGAAATGAAGATCATAACAAGTGATTTAAATAGTGTTGCTCTCTCTACATAACCCTGCCTTTGTATCATACTTTGTTATCTTAAAGCACCATTTGCACCTGGGCTATTTCGATTCCCATCCCTTCTTCCTGAGAGACATTTTATCAGCCACATTGAGTGGTGAGGAAGGAGCTGACCAGCTCAGTGTGTCCGAGGTATCCCTCCTCCCCCTGTAAGGAAATCAAATCCCATTGCATTCTCCAAACCAGGTTCCAACCTCCTAGGGTCCTAGATGGCACATGCAGCACTCGGAAGAAGAGTTCCTGCTTCTGAGATGTTCTCTGTGAGCCAAAGAGCAGTGTGCTAAGGGGTGACTGCAAATACCACACAGCAGTGCTGTGGGAGGACTTGTACAGGGCACGGATGGGAATCACAAAAGGGACTTACAGTCGTTGGGGGGTGCTAACTAGATTTTTGAACATCAAAGCAATGCACGATAAGACTTTGTACCACTGAAGAGTGATAAACCAAGATCCACGCTTAAAGACATTTCTTCTTGTGGAATCTATTTAACCAGCATTGGCTTTGAGCTGTTGCTTGTGGTACTAGTTTGCAGTGTTCTTTTAGAAGCCAGCATTTGTACACCAACAGAACAGATTCACCGGTAACATTCAAACCACCTGGCTTGATGGCCTCATTGATCATTAAATAATCGCAAAGATTTTTTTCTTGAAATTGCTTCCCTCCACCAGTTCTTCCTTTCATTGTCATTTTCAGTCAATATTTTTGTGTCAGAGAGGATTTCAAATACTGCAGGCCCTGGTGCCAGATATCCTCTTTAATTACAATGTTTAAAAAGTCTATGCACAAAATTTTGATTTTTCAAAATCAAAAAATAGAAAATTCCTCTAGCAGTCGTTTGATCTGTCCCTCTGCTCTGCTTTAAATACACTTAGAGAATCTGTTGTTTGGATGGGAACCCAAAAAAGAAGGATTTCTTGGCTGAGTGAGAAAATTAACTGTCCCTCAGCAAAACCTCACCAAGTACAGAGCCTGCTCTATGCAGTTCTCATGAGACAGGAGCAGCACCTGCATTGGATAATCTCATCCCTGGGACCTGGGTAACGCTGCCTGTTTTTATCTGCCAGCAAATATTCAGCTGCACGGTTAGCTGACTGACCAAATGCAGTACCAAAGTATTTATGATGTGAACAACTGCTTTATCGAGTTCATGGAATGAACTAAAATAATCAAATTTATTTCCCATTGCATCTCAAATATTTGATGAAAGGGCTGCCTGAACCCCCTAGGATGACTGTGTTGATTTCCTCATCATTTCCAAAACCTTGGCATTCCCTGAGCAGCAGAGCACTAATGAAGCTGTTGCACGAGTCTTCCTGGAGCCTGAAAAATCGAGGGCCTGGAAGTGACAGAAGGGAGCGCCTACACCTTGCCTCAGCCCCATTGTCTCGTGCTTATTTTTAATTACCTCGAAGCTTTAGAAACATGATCCGGTAAATGCTATGTGGGACTAGCGAGGAAGGCACTCATCATGTGAAATCCATAAATTGCTTATAATCCTCTCAAGATGTTAAGAAAAAAAGCATTAAGTAATTGAAGACAGGAAGTCCTCCGTTAATTATTTAGAGGTGTTATCAATGCTTTAAGTAAACCAAAGCGTTTTCTGCTATTTCACGGAGCGGAGCCCCTGAGGGACCCTCACAGAACCACCATCATCTTCTCATATTCGCTAATGCAAACAGCGCATGGCAGCTTGTCAATAAAGGACCCCGTCCCATCATCCGTTACTGAACACCTCTGCCACCCCGCACAGGATGAGGCTGAGGCCAGTCTTTGGGCGGCCATGCTTCCTGCACCAGCCTTCTCACATGGGCTTGGGGAAAGAGCACAAGGAAAAGGGATGAGCTGATTTATGAGGGCCACTGAGCAAACGAATGCATTCATCGTGCCCTCTTTAAAGCCGCTATGATTATGACTTTCGTGTCTCTTAACTGGGAAAATGTTTCCCAAAACATTCATTACCACTGTTGATTGTTGGATTTCACCGAGACCTGCCATTCGCTTAGCAAAGGGAAAACAATTTGCCTTCCTTTCCAGTCTTCTTAGAAATTAATGAAAACCTCTTAATGCTAAATAATATAAACTCTAGCCTTTCCATGTAGCAGAAACTATTACATTGCAATGATATCCTACCCATCACCTTTGAAAAACAGAACATATTTTGAGCAACAATGTATCAAGATGTGAAAATTCATTTCAACAGGATTTTACTTTTAGAAAACTGCCATTTGCTCCCATAGTATCTTGCTTCTTGAGGTATGTATTACATTTATTATAATTTCCTCTGTCATTGTCTTTGTTCCTCAGCTACTAGATAAGCTTTTGAAGGACAGAGACAATAGCTTCTTATTTGCCATTGTTTGCCTAGTATCTACCACAATACCTAACAGTCAAAAATGCGTGTCAAATTAGTAAATATTAGTAAAGAATAGTATTTAAGTGATCATAGTCTGTTCTCATTGTAGATAAAACTCAATGTCAATAACATCTACATTGCAGACAGGAGTGGCTACATCATTTGCAGGACTTCTTGCAAAGTGAAAATTCAAGCTCCCTTGTTCTGAAATTATTGAGGTTTTCAAGACAGTGAATAGAACCTTGCATTCCTCCAGGGTGTTTCTAAGCATGCAGCCCTACCTGACTGCCCAAACTGTAGCATGCAAAGCAAGCCCTGACCCTCAGCACTTTGAATTACAGGCCATTGCTTCAACTGGAACAGGAATAAAAGTAAGATGGCGGTCGTGTTGCTAAAATAGCTTCAGGCACTTCTGGAGTTCTCTGGAATGTTCTGGACTGCGTTTTCTTGTGCCGCTTACCCACTGACCATCAAGCACTGGATCTGCAGAGGCAGACATTACAACTAATCATGCTTCCATTTTTTCAACTGAAGAAAAACTATTTTGCACCTCTCTAGGTACATATGATAGCACTAGTCTTTCTTTCTTTAAACCTACTTGTTAAAAGGTTAAAGATAAAAGAGTATAGTCAGCAAATGCCTGAGCACTAACTTTTAAGGACTAAAACACTGTTCCCTGAAACTCTAAGTCATCCAGTTTTTTTTGCCTGAGCGAACAAGACTTTTGTTTTGTCCATTGAGTCTAGCCAACCTCTTATCTCTGCAGCATACTCCTTGGATCAAAACTTTATTACTGAAAAAGAAAACTGCTATAAAATGCAGAAACGAGGCCTCAGTCTGTTACAACTTTGAACTCTGAGAGGAAAAGTGCTTATTAAAATATTATCTTAGTTGCCTCCTCCTAGCTGAGACATAATAGTCAACATCCTCAATTTAAGAGCAAAGGGTTCTCTGGGCTCCCATTTTTGGAAAGGTTTCAGTCCACAGTCAGCTGGCTCCAAGGCAGGGAGACGTTGTGGAGAGGCTTGCCAGAGGAGAAGGAGCTCGTGGGATGGTAGGCGGGAAGCAGGGAGGGGTCAGGAGAGGGGAGGAGAATCTATATGTGTATATGTATGGTAGATAGATAGACAGACAGACAGACAGACCCTCCCAGGCCACAGCACAGTAGCCCACCTCTTGCCACCAGGCTTTGCCTCCCAGCATCACACCCAGCTCTAAACCCATCAGTAGTCCGATCCAGTACCACACACCCATGACCCAGTCATTCCCGAAAGCCCAACCTATGAGAGCACAAAGCTTTGGGAAGCATCTAGATATAAGCCAAATACTGTCACAAAACCATAGTAAGAGGAAGGGATTTAGCAATTAACTGAATACTGGCCATGCTGGTAATCTATCTCTGCAAAGAGTCTGCCAAAGAAATC